ACAACTAGCCCTATGTCAAGACAGTTTCTTTACTAAGTGCCTTAAACACGTTAAGTTCACGCATGATAAATCTCTCACAAGAGAATGAGGGATTGGTGCACTGAGTACAGCCATCCTGACAACTGGGCTGCTCCAAATTAAATAGGCCGCCATCACCAGCTGGAACGTCCAATTGGATCCAGAGAGATTGGCTCGTCTCCGCCCATCTGCCCTGGCCCAGTCGGCCATTGGCGACGGCAAACTTCCGTTTACATAATGAATGAAACGCAAATACAAGAAGGAAGGGCCGGCAGCTGTGACACACACCAACTAAAGCTCCTGACTTGTATCTACAGGAGTTTATGTGTTGAACTGCTGCCCCATGATTGGCTAGTTGGATAATTGATGGCATAAAAATACAGCTTTGGAAATAATTGTTAAGCCGCTTGTTGTTTTCTTTTAGAAGTTCAACACAACAGGCCTTCAATATTGATCATTAGTTTGAATTTTATCACAGTTGTTAAATAATTACCTCATCTTCTAAAAGATATGGAAAAACTACGATAACAGTTCAATGCATACAATAAAGTTTGCTGAAAAATATGATGTATTGAAACTCTTAAGTGTCAAAATTGACACTAGATGGCTGAAAACATGTTGGAATCCCCATTATTTTGTGCATGAACTATTTATATAACGTCTCAGTTAAATTCATTGGTGCTAAACAAAGAGGAATACAGCGAAAGAACCATGTCTAACCAGCTTTGAATTAGCAAAACAAAGGGGCAAAAACGGTGGTGGGCATTCCTAATAAAGTGCTTGATGAGTGAATGTCTGGTGGTGCTCTGAAGGAGACGGGTGGTAAAGCTTTTTTTCACTTCCCTTAATGATATCTTTACTTTCATTTCCACCTATATCTGAAGCCTGTGGGAACAATAGTTGGTCAGTGAGAGTTTCTGCAGCCACCGCCGTGAATCCATCTTTTTGCCAGTGCACATTAGCCCCAGCGTGGCCCGGTACAGCGTGGTTGCAGAGACTTTAGCCCAGGTTCAACCTCAAGACACACAAGGGTAAATCTGTGTTGAGGCGCTGCAATAAGAACCCATGATGAAGAGATTTGAGCCACTTTCACCTGCACCTCTTTGACCACGCCGCCAGTGATTACATGTTTCATAACGGTATTGCTTTAAGTAGAAGTGTGACAAAAATGAGCTAATGTGCCGAGTCACAGTTGTCCACTAAATCTTGGAGCTTTAGTCAGCACTTTGCCCTGTGTTTTGCCACACTCAAGTTGATGTGAAATGGAGTGTAAGAGTTGTTTAACCTAGTTTACTTACTCAAAGGTCTACCCCTAAGATTCCCTGTAAAGGTGAAATTCATCGACTTGTTTGGAACAAACTAGATCGAGAAAGTATGTAAAATTGTCAGAGCATTGTTGTGATTTAATGGGAATTACTTTCACTAAATGCAGAAAATTGTTTCATTAAATTCTTTAAATGCAAAATTCCACATATAGAAGTTGAACAAACTCCAAAGCCTTTCAATTAGAATCCTTCCAGGAGTGAAATAAATCCACTTGTTAGGGACAAACTATCTCAAGAAAGCATTGAATTGTGGCTGACTATTGTTCTGAATGTGATTTAGCAGGAATTAGATTCTCTAAATTAAACTCCAGGCCTGCATTGGTGAACTATATTGAATTGAAAGACAAGGACAGATAACCAGATGGGGCGATAGATGCAGAAAGGCAGAGAAAAGGAAACTTTTAGCTACTTTTATAAAGGTTTGGTTTTAGTATTAGTCTGCCTGTTAAAATAGTAGCAGTATGTACTGGTGATAGACACCTCATCAATAGCAAAAAGAAAGCTGTTAGCTGAAATGTTCAGTAGTTTTACTTATATGTATCATAAGCAAACCTCCATGAAAACACAAAACACAAACACAAAGTTCAGTTGCATTGGGATGCAGTAAATTCATTTAATTCTGATGTGAGGTCAGCTGACCTCTAAACTGATTTTACTTGCTTGGTTTCATTTTTACGCTTATCTATTTTTTATGTGTGTGAATTTATTTATTGCGTACCTATAAATGTTAATAAATCACTTGGTTAAATTCACAGTATGGTGGGTAAACTCAAAATAGATATTTTAAATTGTAGTGTTTTTTTCCCCTAAATTGGTTATTAAAATGATCAATAATTGTCCATGTTGACTGAAGCGAGATTTTATATGATAATAGGTTTTTTTTTTTACCTATATCTCCCAGCCCTGTTGTTTTATGATACATTAGTCACGGCTGTAATCTGAACTGCATGGTTGAGATTGACGGAGCTGAGTTCAGTCGGTTCAGATCGACACGCACTGACTGATAACTGATGACCGTCAAAACCAAAAGGTTATTCCAGGTCATTTTGACTACTTGAAACCATTTTCCCGTTAAAATCATTTTTCTATCATAGCTCTGTGATAAGACTTGTAAAAGCCCCCATTTGTCAGAATTAGTGAAGACTTTTAGCTCAGTGCTTGTATTATACATATTTTATCATCTTACCATGGTTTTTAGTTTTATACCGATAAAACAGAAGTGTTCTACATTTTTATCTGCCAACGTCAAATCGAAGCTATTCTCGACTCCCCTTTCAAACACAGGGTTTCATTCCCAAATATCAAATGCATCCACAGAGCTTATTTATTAGACAACAGCCATGTAGAGGTCATTTTTGCAGCTTGGCCACCAAATGAAGTTAATGGTAGTCAGCCACAGTTGATTGAGTTTGCTCTTCTGGAATGTTTATTACCTTCATACAGCTTTGTATGTCAGACATCATCAATCATATTCACATTATCAAACTCTGATTTTGAACAGTCTTAGTTGTTCAGTCTTAATTTTAAAGGCTACTGCTTCAATTTGTGTCTGTGACTCTGTGATGTTATTCACAAAAAGTACAGGAAGCAATACAGTGTTGATCATTTTGGTAGTAACGGCTTGTTCTTGTCATTCCCTGTCTGTCTGTTCCCACACTGCATGTTGGGAAATGTGCAGAGAACATGCGTCCCTTGTGGAAACGTGGTATTAGCAAGAAAAAACAGGCTTCATTTGGGATTTAGTTCCTGCTCTGCTAGCGTGTATGTTCAGATGTGTGTGAAAAGAAGCTGTTTTTGTTGGTGGGGAAGTTGTTGTTACTATACTGCCGTTCAGTTCAGTATATGGTCATTTCACAATTTCTCTGCTGTCCTGTTGTTGCAAGAAAAGCTTGACACCAAGATGCTCCTTTTTCTTTTGTATTTCTAAAATGTACACACATTCCACCAATGGCTCAGCTGTGCCTCTGGATTTAAATGTAGAAAGGCAGATATAGTGACTGATGGGAGCCATTTTACTGCCCTCTTATTGATTTTTTTGCTCATCTTTGCAGCTACTCTACCCCGTGTTTGTTGCTTGTGGCCTGTGTTGTTGTTGTTTACATCGCTGTAGTGGTGAAACAGTGGCTGTAGGCTGCCTGTGTGGGCTATAGAATGACCTTGACTTGCTCTGATGTTTACCGCAGAAGCCAGTCGGTCCTGCTCTGCCGCTCTTTGACTGGCTGGCAGGCAGGCTGGCACACAGTGAGCCCATTGTGGTCTTGTGCCCTGCTGGCATTCTGAAACACTGACTGACTGAACGCTCTGCTATCTAGCCCTTGAGAGGTGAAAGAGGACGACTGTCCCGCTGTCCCACTGGAGCGTACTGGGACTGAATGACTGCCGTCTACTCACCCTCTCCACAGCAGGGACAAGCTGCAGCATACACTGCAGATTTACTAACGCACTGCATGAAGGAGACTGACGGGCTGCAATAACCGGGCGGCTGTTTTATGAGACAGAGGGACAGCAAGGAGAGGGCATAATGACGCAAATGCATCACTGTGATGACACATTATTGTCAAAAAAAAATGTGTAAATCAGAAAATACAGTTTGAATGTGAGAACAACTCACTTCTGGATTTGAATTTTTTGTTGTTGTTTTTGACGAATTCTCCATCCACATGCCAGAGCATAAAAACACATTTCAATCTTCTCTTCCTCCATTTTGTAGCGAGGCTCACAGCAAAGTTGTTTGTCACAGCCGTCATCTGACAAGAAGCTTCACATGTACAGTACGATGCCTTCTGATAGTGATGAACGTGATGTGAGTGTAGAGTATCTGATGACAGTAAATGACGTGGATAAAACTTTCTATCCAGAGTTTGCAATACATTACAGTACTCTAAATATTGGCAATTTTCTTCACATTTCTGCATTTGTGAAATACATTTTATTAGCTATTGTACCGGTGTTGGCTACAACAAGCAGCACATTCCTGGTTCTTGTTATTGGACTTCCATATATGTGCATCTCTAGGTATAATTCAGTATCGTTATCCCAACTACTGACAACAGGCAGACTTGATTAACTCATCACACACTTTTAGGGCTTCAGAAGTGTGGGATTCAAGTTCAACACTGCATTAGTGTGTGTGTATAATAACAGGGAAACATTACTACATTTTCCAGTAACTGTCTAATCACAGATATTGTGACTGAACATTGTGTGAAATTCATCTTTGGTAGCTGCGTTACATCCACAACAGCAATTTGATTTGTCTATTAGGAAGGTTTTGCCTCTCGCTAGAGTTGCTATGACTACAAACACCAATGTGATTTACCTATGAAAGTTCATGGTTATAACAAAACAGATCTAAACAAGTTTGCAGTATTCTTGGATAATACGCCTTACACTGGTAGAAGGTACAACAGCGCTCATCTTTTTAACTCTGACAAATTGTACAGCAATCAAAACACTCTCCAACAGATTGAGACAGATGAGATTCAGAATCATCGTTACAGAACTGATTGATCAACAGTTACCTGATTATATAATATGCTGAACATTAGTGGTAAAATAAAATAACACTTCACCTTTTTAATTCTGTGCAGACCTTTCAGAAGATTAAATATTTAGCGTAATTGTTTTTAATATTTCATATTCTCGTTGTGTCTGCAGGCTTTCAAAGAGATGCTGTATGCTGCTCAGGACCAGGCCCCATCCATCGAAGGTATTACACACACACACACACACACACACACACACACACACACACACACACTGGTCTGGTCCATTGTTTGGCGCCTGATGGCGTCTGAACTCCTAACACAAGGAGTGTAAAGTGGTTTGTACAATGAACAAGGGACGTTGCAGGGATCCTATGCATTAAATGCAGTATTTATAAAATGTAGTTTTGCTTTGTATTGTATGAAGCAGCAGGACGTTTGCCCTTCTCTGTATTAATTTGAACAATATTTATCTGACAGCGTCTCCCTTGGGAAGTCTGGAGTGCATTCAGTTAGGTTCAAAAGTCATTATTATTCAAAGCCTGCACCTAATATTTAATAAACTACAGGATGCCATAGCAACGGCACTGATGCTTTGTAATACATGAACGGTTTGCAATTTAAAACAATGGGCCTGGCAGAGAAAATGCCACTCTTATTCAGCATCAAGACTGGCACGTGCCGTTCTTTACCTCCTATTTTTTTATATGGAGCTACCTCATCCTGCATTATTGCTTAAATATGTGTCTTTGCAAAAATACACGGACAAGAGCCACAAAATGACCAAAATTTAAGGCCTCAAAGAGTCTTAAAATGTCTTAAAACCAGTTATCACAGGCTTGTTTTTTCATCGTGTAATGACAGGCCTCTTTGTGTCACTGCACCACACACACTTAAAGTAATACCAAACAGTGTGACTGGCACGGTACGCCTTTTCCTGGTATCATTTCTTTCTTCTTATTTTGACAGAACAAACTGTCACCACTTAAAGGGGCAGTCAGAAATATGAGGCCACAGAAGGTAAACATCAGACCCAATCGTGTCACAGAAGCTCATGTAACTACTTACAGGTCACTTGCTCTGTATTTGGCTCCACTTGTTCATCTGCCAGCTGCCCATCGATCTGATGCCTGTATTGGACTGTGTCATTAGTTTTCATGAGTGGGTCATCAGGCTCGCTGACCCACTCAGCAGTCAGACTGCAGTTTTCCAGTTCAGGGGATGGCAGGTACTGTCTGTTCTGTGAATCACAGAATGTTTTTAAACCTTGGGTTCAAACCTATTTTAGGCTTTAGTCCGCGCAAACTTGTCCAGAGAATCAGACTGTGGGCAGAATGTCAGGTTTCCTTGTGCCATGCGTGCAGCCGTGTATCTCAGGTTTTACACAATACGAGGACAACAACATACTTCTGCTCTGTTAAATAGCTTCACATCGATTACAGTAGTGATCAGAAATTGTTGAAAAGTTTTGCTGCACTCTCCCTGGTTGTGTTTAGAGTTTAGTCGTTTGTCATTCTGTGACATAAAACTAAGTTCTGTGAAATACTTTGGCTGAAATTTAAGAGTTTCTCATGCTTTTACACCTGAGAGTTTTTTGTTTTTTTCAAACAAAAAAACTAAAATCTTCAATATCTCTAGAAATATAACTTCCACTACAATGAAGTTTGATGAGGACCCCGAAAAAATTGATTCCAGTAGATGAAGATAATCAACTGGCTCCAGCTGGTGCCAATTTTTTATTTGTTGGCCCTTAAAAATGGACAAAAGTGCAAAAGGTTGCAACAAAGGTGGCATTGTGGTCCTAGAAATTTCCTCTAAGTGAGTATATGTACAGATGTATCCAGATTTCCTACTAAAATGCAGTCATTAGTTGACATTTCACCAACTTTTTAGGCTGCTAACATCATTACACTTTGATATGTGGTAAGCATGTCAGGCCAAGGTTCCAGTTTTTTGCTATTTTTGCATACCAAAATGTTAGTATGGTACTGTTTGTAGGATCACAAAATGGTTTGCAAAGTGGTCTATATGTTGCCATTATATGTGCAGGGTTACAAGTTGTGTCCATGTTGTCTTTTGCCTTACCAATTCTTCCCATTCCTATACACTCGTCCTCAAATGTATTCATACCCGCCCATTAAAGAAGGAAAAACACAGCTGTCACTGAAATAAGTTGAAATTGACAAAAGTAACAATAAATAAAAATTGTATGAAAATCATGACATTGCTTTTGAATTGTGGTTCAACAGAAATGTTTTAAAAAAACACACACAAGCAATCAAGCATGATGGGACCTGTAAACTAATATTTAGTTGAACAACCCTTTGAGCCAATCAGTGCTATCAAGTGTTTTCTGTAACTCTCAGTCAGACTTCTGCACCTGTTGACAGATATTTTGGTCCACTGCTCATCAGCAAAGTGCTCTAATTTGTCCGGGACAGTTTTTTTTTTTATTTTCAACCACAATTCAAAGCAATGTCTTATTTCACTAAATTATAATTTAACACATTTTTATTTATTTTTACTTTTTTCAGTTTCTAATTATTTGAGTGACTATTGTGAATTTTTCCTTTTCTTTAATGGAAGGTTATGAATACATTTGAGGACGACTGTACTAGAAATGAGCTCTGACCAGAGAAACTGATGATAGTTCAACAAACATCACAATAAATCTCATGTTTATTGGAACGCATCAGGACAAGTGCTGTAGCAACAATACAGGTGAAGCAGGAGATCAATGATGTGCTAAAAGCAACTAAAGAAAATAATGGCTCAGCCTGACTTTTGGCTTTTAGCGAAATAATGTCATATATTGCCAAGTTTAAAAAAAATAAAAAATAAAAAAACACTATCGTTCTTTGAGGTTAAGTGTTCCTAATGGCAGCGTTTTGAGATATATTGTATTTCTTAGTCTTCATCTTACAAAGGAGATGAGCCAGTTAGGAGCCAAAAAGCCTCTTTGTTCACCATAAATCACACATTTGCCCTGTAACTGTTTATTGATTGAGGACTGAGGGATGTGTGATGGCATTTATGTATTCTGAGTTGTGGACTGTAGTGCTCAGAGACACACACAGTATTGCTTAGATTTTCTGATCTGTCAAATTTGTGTAAATGAGACATCAGTGTACTTTCTGCGTCGCGACAATCACATACTTAGACATTGTAGACACTGAGCTGGCTAACAGGACAGCCACTGTGTCAGGTCGGTGTTTAGTTAGTTGTCATTTACCTTAACAGGTGACATTATGTTTATGTAAACAGCATTTAACATATTAATTAAACTCTGTTCTTAGTGTTCTGATGACGTTTTCTAGAAATCTGCACACACGTTGCAGTCATTAAATTACATGCATGACAGACGCGACTTCACAGTAAATTACAATCGTCGATCGTTTAAACCTATGTTTTGTTAACAAAATGAGCTGTTTTCTCTCAGCTTACATCTTGCTGAAGTAGAATCCTGCAAACGCTCTAAACATTTAACCGGAGGTCACGTTAGAGCCTGTTTTAGGAAAGCAGAATAAATCGTTGTCAGTTTGCGTCGTCCAGTTTTAGCCATGCTAGCAGCGCTGCTCTAAGCATGGCCATGTGTTTCTACCTGCCCAGAATATAATGTAAGCAGCTATTGGAAGGACTGCCTGAAGGTCCGTCCAGACATTAGTGTTTCCAGAGGACGAATTGTACCGACTCTCCTCACTTTTCCTGCCACGATGAGACTGACGTTTGTAGCTCTCAGTGAGATATCTCAACAGCAGTATTTTTGATTCAGATATTCATGTCCCCCTAAGGATGAATTGTGAGGTGTGGGACCTTAATTTTTCCTTTATTGCCATCAGTGTCAGATTTTTAATTTGTTTAATTGTTTGGTGTACGACCAAATACATGCTGAAGTGACTTTCCTGTCAGCCAATGTAACTCTTCCTTACAGCAGCGTATCTTATCTGACCTCGTACTCTCTATCTAGAAGGTGAGAAAACGTATTTAAAAAATTTCATGAAAGGGATTGAAGAAATTAGATAGTGGTCTATTTCATTTCCTTAATATACAAAAAAAGTTACACAGTGTATACATTTTACATTGGGATATCTATGATGATCACAATTTTTGCTTCAACTATTAAATTAACATGAATAAACGCGATATAGACATTTAAAATGCTCCACTCACTGAAAACAGCCCATGTTGATAAAATCACCTGTTTCAACTTGGGTAAATCTGCCATTAGAAAACTCTGTCAGTCTTTTCATAGGAAGTTTTGACCCGTCTGAGCTGCTGCCTTACGATAACTGAGTGAAGACTAGAGGCTTTTCAGTGAAGAGCCGACTAGCAAGCATCGACCATAGCGTGCATGTCCATAATGTGTCCATAAGCAGAGAGCACAATTTTATTTAGATTTTGCCTCTAGGAGATGCTCTGAATTCAGGTGAAGAAGTCTTTTAAGTCTTTTTTTTTTTTTTGATGCCAGGATTTGTAGACTAGCATAAATGTAGCACAACATGGATGTCAAGGCAGAGCTCTGTCTATTTAAATATGAATCATAACCTCAGAATTGATGGAAAATAATTGTGTTTATCATTTTGGCTATAATCATGCAGCTGTACGATGCATTTTATACTTTCACTGACTTATATAGTTTACTTCCTTATACATGTGGATGATGAGATACACAATATCACACTAGATCTAAGCAGGTTTTTAGTATGTAGTACATTCACCCTGGAAAAAACAACACAAACTAGTTAAAAGCTGTTACGCAACTTGATTTCTTGTATTGCACAATATGTGTAGATTTGTATATATTGTACACAGTTACTCTGTAGTGTTAGTTTGTAATTTGAACACAAATTTAGCCTTCTTTGACACTGAAATTGTGCTGCATGTTTTCATAGTCTGTCCATTTTATCGGTATAGGCTGTGCTCTAGTGGCAGCCCCGGCATACTGTTGGTGTTGCTCATTGACTGACTAACTGACAGCCTGACACCATCCCTTTATATGGTGCTGGGTTATATACAGAGGAATAGTCACATGTTGCTGCCTACTGCGACGGTGTGATTCACAGGGTGCTCCATTCTCATCTTCCTACTAACGATTAAATCCACCTGACTGACATCTTCTTTCATTTCCCCCTCTATTTCAGTCTATTTTAAGATTTTTTTCCGTGACTTGTCTCCAGCTCAGAGGTACAGGTGACTATATATTACTGTCTGGAAAGTGACTAAT